TGTCACGAGCTTTTCGACACGTTGCTAGTACTTTCGAACCAATATTCTTTTACCAAAAGATATGCCTGTCGATGCTCTACGAAAAGATGTAAAGTCTACTTTAGGCTCTCAAAAAAATAACCATGTAATATAAACAAAAAAGTAAAAAAAACAGCATATGAAATATAGCAAAAAACAATTGGTTTTATCTACTACAATGAGTTTCTATTCTTTTTAACCGGAATAATGGTATGTAAAAAGTGCAGGGCTTTTGGTAGAGAAGCTTCTGCCCTATCGATTGATATAATTTGATAATGGTTTTTATCAAGTTTTTTGTGATGAAAAACTTCAAAAACTATAGATTTTGACATAACGATATTTTCGGTTAAAATATTTCGATCGGTAAAGTACTAGAAAACGTTGCTCAAAAGTTGTAAAAATTTGCCTTTCTGACTAACTTTTTTTTTATTCTTTCGAACTGCTGAAGCCATTTCAAAATATAAAATTTTTCGGTACCCAATTTGGGCGGTAGTTCCTGGAGTCTCTCTTAATCATTAAAATAAATGAATACTTCAGCCGAAATTAATAATTCCTTCTGACGAGTCATCATTTGAACAACAAGTTCACAATCATTCTTTTTGAATGAAAATTTATATGAACCATATCCAGAACCATATGATTTGATTGTCAAAATCTTTTAAAAATATATATGCAGTTAGTTTTAAAAAGATAAGATTTTCTTACATCATTTTGTAATAAAATAATATTTTTATTTCCCAAGTAAAATAAGATGTAAATGATTAAATAAGAAAATTTATCTTCAATATAATGAGGATTCATCTCGAGAAGTGTTTTAAATGAAAAATGTTGTTGTTTATCAACAGATGAGATATGTAAATGTGCTATAATTTAGCGGTTAATTGGTAATTGATGTATATTTATCTGAATATTTAAAAGCAAATAGGCTTACTCCTGTTGTAGCACAAGTAACAATCGATGAATTTATAGGATTCCATTGTACAGAAGATATTAAATTGGTTGCTGAATAACTTAAAAATCAAAGTACGAGAATAAATAGAAGGAGCAAATTGTTTTTCTTACCTCAAATAAACATGATGAGTTATTCGATCAACAAAAACTAATTTCATATGACGATATGTAAGGATAAAAAAGTTTTTAGTTGGAGAATATTTGATTAAACCAATATACTAAAATACAAAATTATTTGTTCTTTTAAAATATTATTTTAATATAGCAACAAACTTCTTTAATTGTATTATCTTCATAAACTTTCTCTAATTTCCAATTGTTGGTTTCATTAAAAAAATCGAATTTATAACTGGAATTGCAAGCACCTAAATTTATAAATGAAATAAACATTCATTTTGATAAGAATAACAATAGTTACATCTTCAAATGGATTCTAAGAAATTTTAACAAATGATTTAGCAGCACTAAAATAATTTTATTCTTTTATTTGAACAAAATCAATAAATTGATTTGACTTACTCGAGATCAATTGATTCTTCAATCACATATAACTCTTTTATTAATGTTTGTTGATTTACACTATAAACCCGTATAAAACCATCAATTGACGATGTTGCCTAAATGTATTCAAGTTTTTTTAAAATAAAACCAGGGGGGGAAAGAGCAGATTTCAGGACTTCAAAACACTTCAACGATTCCAACCATAGAGACTTCAAATCTTTATAGGACCTCTAAAGACTTTAAAAGATTTCATTAGACTTCGACTATAGAACAAGGGAAAACAGTGGACACTTCAGCCATGAAGTCCGTTGTTTCTCCCTTGCCATACAAAAGAAGAAAAAAGACTTCTAAAGACTCCACAAGACTTCAGAGTACTTCATCGAACTTCATGATTGAAGTCTCCTCTGTTTCCCCTAGAATAAAACATGAATTTATTACATTATCACGAAATTATTTTCATCATTAACATCAATTGCAAGAACAGCAGCTCGATATGGGTGTGTGGGAATGTCGGTGTGAATGAATAATAGATCTACACCCACACCAATCCCCACATCCCGCTCACACCCACACCCCCGCCGTCTCACACCCTCTGCTTTTTGTGATTTGCTGCTTTAACTATTTACTATTTCAGTGAAATAAAAACTTTTTTTCCTCATAATGTGACTTGATAGTTTATTTTATACAATTATGAGAAAAAGATTAATAACAATAATGATTAATTATATTTGTACAAAAAAAAAAACATTTTATTAGATTCATCATAATTGAAAATGGTTTTTGTCAGATTTATTTATTAAAACCACATTATAAGTCCACAACCATCATCTTCAATTGAATAATAAGGTTGTTTCTCACAAGATAACCGAACTATACGATGATATAATTGTTTTATTAATTTTATATGGTCCTTAAACACAGAATCAATGTCAAAGTCATACGATGAGGAATGTTTCCTTCGAAAGCAAAAGCCAAAATCGGTGAACACAGATGCTTTCTCTGCAATTTTCTGACAACTTCTATCATCAATAGTTTTTGGCATGTCATACAGAAATATGCGTAATGAACTCAATCGTCGCATAGTTGAAAGTGAATGAAAAACCACTGGCCAATTTGGTGATATATAGTTAGGATAATAATAAAAAAGTAGAATACGAATAGAACGAATAGTTGTTGGAAATGAAGAAGAATAGTTCAGACAATTGATACTATTCACAAGAGTTATATTGCGAATAGCAGATAAATATATAGGAATATGTGTATTATAGTAGGACAAGTGCAATGTTTCAATACAATTGGATAATGCCATATAAGGTAAAGAGCATATAGGTAATGGCAACGTTTGACCTGATGTATCTAATGTACGAAGAGTTGATTGATGAATTGTCATCATTTTTTGAGGTATTTCAAACACTCGTGTTTTAGTGATCCATCTGTGTGGTAAATATTCATGATAAAATTCATCAAATGCCCATGGAAGAGTATACCACATATGATGATCATATTGACGTCCACGCTTCTATAAATATTAAAAATATATTAAGATAATTATTCGACGAAGGTTAAATTAATAAGAACAAAGATATAATCAAATAATTACTCACAAAAGGATCTATATAAATCTCCCATTGTGATCTGTCACGCCAATAATTGACAACAAATGTTGCACCGACTATTTCTCGTGGACGAAAACGATTACCACGTGGTATATATTGTGTCACTTCTACGTATCGAGGACAATTAATGAGACTGAAGGCAAAATGAACATCAACGTGACGATGATCAGTGAAAAGTGATGATGAACTAATACAATTTATATCATTAATATCAATAAAAATGGACATATTGGCACGTCGAAGAACAGGCATTACATTGGATGATGTCAGCATTTCGAAAAATACCCATTCAATTTTTAACATCGAGAAAAAAGTTTGAACGAGAGTAAATGTATGTAAACTAACCATTCGGATTGAAAGAGGAGACGTTGGTATAGGGGAACGAGTATTGAAGTCACTGTTACCTACTTTTACATGTAATTGATGTAATGTGGTGGAGAGTGGTGGTGTTGACATAAGACGAACTAACATATCCATCGTTGACACAACAATACGCAAATAGGTAAGAGAAACTATTGCAGTGGTAAAGAACCAGCCTATCCCATGATAATTCATGCCTAAGTCGAGAGATCGAAGTGCAGGTAGATGAATAAGAATAAAATTTTCTATTAATGCTTCAATGTCACCAATTGGGTATTCGAATTTAAAGGAATAACCATCCTGAAAAAAAAACAGTGTATAAAAATGTCGTTGAATTCTGTATGAATCAAAGCGAATGCTAATTGAATTGATTTTAGGATTTAAAATAGTTGTTCTTTGATCAATAAATATGAGTCATCAATTTGAAATTTTTATTCAAATAATCTCTTCAACAATAACTAACATATCTTTTGCAAATCTACGGATTCAAAAAAAAATTTTCCTCAAACAATCTGTTGTAACCTGTGGAATCTTCAGGATCACAAGGAAATTCTCATTCGATTTCATATTGTCCTTGATAGACTACTATTTTGTTCAACATTTTATCTCATAAAAATTTCCAATATTAATAGCCAGCTCTTATTCTTCTGTTAAAATCTTCATGTAGTTAAATCAAGTACATTCATAGTAGATGAGAGTATAGTCAACAGCAAGAACACATTCAATGACACTAATAAAAACCGGTCCATTAAAAGTTTCAAGCAATCTATCATCAAGAACAATGAATTCAGCTAATACATTCTTGACTTTTAGCTTTCAATTTTCAAGCAACATTATTCAATTTGTTCTTTATCAAACTATATTTTCTTTTCTTTATTGAGAGTTCAAATTATTTGGTAGGATTATTTTCGAATGAACTTTTCATATCAAATGAAAAAATTTTTGTATACTAACATCCCAATGAATGATGATCGATTATGACATTTCTATAGCACCATTCAGTTTTTAAATGATATAGATGACTCAGTTACATATGTATGTATCTGCGGTATAGCTGTTAAAAGCCTCAAACTAAGTGCTTTTCTACTGTGTATTTTATTAATTCTGATAATTTCTGTGAATTTAAACTTGTCTGTATTGTCATAGAAGTTTTTTTTTTTTGAAAAGTGACTTCACTTCTACGTATAAATAAAAGAACAATCAACTTATCTTTTATAATATATTTAACATATTTATTTTATTTCTATTCCGATCGAAATATTTTTATAAGAAAAAGTTTATCTTGGACACAATCCATTGATAGTCACAAAATTCTTACTACAGTTTTCTTTTTATTTCGACTAAAGACATTAAGAACTAATCTAACAGAACAATCCTTCAGCATTTTCAATATTTGCTCCAACAATCTCCTTTCTTTGTAAACCTTTGCATTTGTTAAAAAAAAATTGTTGACACTTACGGGGACCAATCTTTCATTTGATTTGATAATGAGATGAATGAGTGTGGCTGCATGAAGCAAAAGAAAGAGCAAAAGATCATTATGATTGTATACACCAATAATACGCAGAGTTTTCAAACGAGGTAAATAAGGCCAACGAGTTAATTGAAGTGGAGATGCATCACTATCAATTGCAAGTGACTGAATATCATTCAATGGAAGAAAACGAAGAATTCTATTAAATTGATAATTACGTGCAAGTGATAAGTTGATATGATAAAAAAGACCTCGTTCCATGGTTAACATTTTTAGACGATCATTAATATGTGTAAATCCCCAAAGAATATCGAGAGACGATAGATATGAGAACAACTCGATCAATACTAGATCGGGTAAATCGTCGAAACGTGTAATCAATGCCATATATATTCATATAAACGATTATTTCTGCATTTTTATAGCTATGCTCTCTTTTTTATATTAATTGACGGATGTGTTTTTTTTTCATTTCTTTATATTAACCGTCTGAAAAACAGAAGACAATGTATGTTGAATATGACCGGTACTATAGAGATAGCGACGAATGAATGAATATTCCTTTTTTTTCTGTTGTTTCGTCAGACATATCATTTTCGAAGAGTTGCTTCACAATTGAATGAGAAGTTTATGAAATTAAGATAAAACAAGGAAATGTGTAAACTACAATATTGTGCAAAAATAATTCATCACTTTTTCGTCTCATGTTTTTCTGCTATAAGAATGCGTTCAATAGCCGTTAATAGTTTTAAATAACAGTATATTTAGTTGTCTATTAGAGACGTATGATAGAGATCTGAAACGTCGTTTTATTAATTTGGTAGAGTAAGTCGGGGTAAATGTAGACAAAAAATTAATGAGCTCACGAATATTGCCTATAACTTTTTTATGTTTCATTTTTTTGAAAAACTTTCTTCTACAAGACACCTAGCTGAATCTCTCCTCTATCGACTGGTGAAATTCGTTTCTCAAAATCTTGTGAGTATCGCTATCTACAAGGTGTTCTTTGAGAGCTACTTTTCGATTCTACATTCATCACATTTGGGGGGAATGTAGAATCACGCTGGTACTATTGGGGTGAATGTAGAATCTCAGCTATTTTCTACATAATTATTAAAATCTAATTTTTAAGCGTTTAATATAATATTTTTTGGTGATTTTTTCACCAGTTGATAGCCCAAACTCTTTTCTATTGCTCTAAACTAATCTTACGATTATAAGTCAAGACTGTGGTTTTTTTATAGAGCTTGCAAAAAGAGCTCCAAAAAAAAATTTTTTGTCTACATTTACCCCATATGGGGTGAATGTAGAATCACCATTACGCGTGTGGGGTGAATGTAGAATCGCAGCAGATTTTGCTGGACACACTAAAACTCAACTTTTACCAAATCCGTAAGGAATTTTAAGATACTCTCAACAGCAAAATTGTTAAGAATGGTGGGCTTAATCATTCTAAAGCTTTTCAAAAATCGGTTTTAAGTTTCCATATGTACTTGTACTTGTTATATGCAAATGAAAGATCAAATTTAAGCTTGAAATGACGGTTTTTGAACTGAATTTCACCAAAATGACAACTGATTTAATCTTTCACACTCATCAGTGGACGTCAAAGACTATGCTAACATCTCCTTTCGCTATAAATTGCGGATAAACGTGTTTTATTCTAATTAACAACAATTTTTAACTAGATTAATTATTGACTTCATTTGAATTTCATTATGGAAATTCGGTTTTAGTTCAATAATGAAACATACGCAGATTACTATTGTTTAAAAATAGAATTTGTAATGATGAAACCTAGTATCTGATAATAACCTGAGATTTGTAGGTGAAACGAGAGCTATATCATTTGATTAATGATCTATAGGTAACAGAAATTGTTTTGGAAGAAGCTTTTCTGTCGGAAAGTGATTCACTTCTTTGTTATGAAACAAGGATAAATGTATTGGAAGAAGAAGATCATATACATAATTATTGTTTGTCCTGAGTGTCCTTCTTAATAAATTGGAAAGAAATTCGGTTGCATATTTCTAGAGAAGATAAGTTAAAAGAGAATCATAGTTTATGGTTAGTTATTGATAAGACAATACAATGTCGTTAAGACTACTTCTATACTCGATGGATTTTCTTCAGATAAATTTACTATGGGTGTATACACAAAAAATTTTCTTAAGTCTGATCAAGAGTTCGTGCAACATTAAATAAAATATAAAGATAAAGATATATTTTTAATTTAATTTTATAAAATGTCGAGGATAATTGCTATTATTGTTTATACTAAGTTCGATCCTTTCTAACAATCTGTTAAAAATATTTTTCAACTATTTTTCTAAAAAAAAATTTTAGCTACATTGAAAATCACATTAGATAATTACATTTCATTAGTTTTTGAGATTTAGCGAAATTTTGATAGATCATGTCGATTGCGTTCCATCGGTACTAGTGATCATGTGTAGATTTATTATGGATAGTTTAGTCATAAATTATCTCATGCTAGATGGCTTATTAAAGATGAACTGTCAAAAACTATTGCTCACGAAGACAGATTTGAAGCAAAGCTTTGTTTTGTATATTCATTCAATCAAATAGTCCAGAGTCTAGATAAAGGAAGGATCGTAGGAGACAAGTATTATATTGAAAATTATCTGAAGCCTTTTGTTAATGTAATATGGAAACAAACGGAAACGACAGGTTCAAAATGTACAAAACTGCTTGATGGTCATCGTTGACTGCATACTCATCCGATGTTATTGATTATTTGACAGAAAGCATTAATATAAATTCGTGTTCGCCATATTCGCCAGACATAATACGACATAATCTTCGGTTAAGTCATTCTATCAAACGAAGTCTAACTGATTAAATAGATGAAACATGATTAGCTCATATGGTGGTTTCCAAGGTAGCTAAAAATTTTTTTTAGAAAACTAGTTAAAAAAATTCTCTTAGTAAATTGTGTCGAAAGGATTGAACTTGATATAAATAATCATGATAACTATGCTAAACATTTGATAAAATAAAATTGAAAGTATCTCCTTATCTCTATTTTTATTTAATGTTGCACGGACTTTTGATCAGACCTAAGTATAATAATAAACACAGTGAAGTCATGGCATAACTTCTTCTGTTTAGAATTCTACTATGCAATATACTTTATTCTAACTTTGTTGAATCTCTGGACATACATGAAGCAATCAGATGTGTTATTCATGAAAAAATATTCTGGCAATCTAATCTTACTTCAAAAGTGTGCAAAAGCTACTTGCTCCTATTAAATGATTATAACATACTTTGTTTACTCTTGCTCTATCCAGCTCAGCTTGTATATTTCTGTGAACCTAAGATTTTTTGAAAATAAGAATAGTTACATTAAACCAAGATTAATCGAACGATATACGTTTCATTTCAAGAGTAGACCATCTTTGCAATCAAGTCGTTTTTACTCTTATAATAATCCCCCTTACCTCTGGAAACAGTGAAATTAGAAAAAAAAGACAGAGATTGTCCTAATAATACAAAGAAAAATTATATTAACACTGACTTTGCTCCCACTGATATTTATATCTTTTATTAGATTAATTGTGTATTAATCGATTAACATACTAATCAACACAAAGGGGTCAATCACACTGAAAAAAATAAAACAAGTTAAGCGACATGGTTGATCTATTCCGACTTAAATCGTCTTTTTGAGACGATTTATTCGTTAATTCTGTTTTAATTCACTTTGAATTAGTCGGTGTGATTGGGGCCAAACACGTCTGCTTCATTTGAAAAACTATAAGACAACATTTTATAATTCAGGGAATCTGAATTATCAGTGTAATAAAATCGGTAATTTTTTCGGCAAGATCAAAATCATCCACCATAAGTTATTTTTCCGAGACACAATTAATATGGACTATAGCGCCATCTATAGTCAACGTTGTCTTGATGAAAGAAACTATTATTTAGTAATTAGAAATATATAAATTTTAATTTTATCAGAAACTTGAATAATGTTTAATTGATACTGTTAATAATACTTTACATCATCAAGATAATTCAATAGATACTTGTGATGAAAATCCACGGATTGAACAAAGCCAACATTTTTGTGATATTCTAACAGGTCATAAATATCCAAATTCTCAATCTTATCATATTGCATCATCTGATTTTGTAATTATCGAATTACACGAAATTGCCAATTTTCAAAATGTCAAGTGGTACTAATCGATATAATAATAGTTATTATTCAAGTCGATATAATCCATATTTTCAATCTCAACAAGGTAAATCATTATCTTGTGCTATTATAGATGATGGTTATTTACTTGATAAATTTCATTATTTAGATTCATTTAACAGTTATTATCAAGTAACAACAAGAGAGCAACAATTTTCCAATATGTCAAGTACTAATAATAATCGAAATATTCATTATCGTCAACCAACTGAATATAATTCGGATTTTCAATCTCAACAAGGTAAATCATTACCTTGTGCTATTATAGATAATGATTATTTATTTGATAAATTTGATTATTTAGGTTCATTTAACAATAATTATCAAGTAACAATAAGAGATCAACAATTTCCAAATATATCAAGTAGTAATAATCGAAATATTCCTGATCATTGTTCAAGTGAAATTGTTGATACGGCGATAGTTGGCTATGGTTATCAAAACATGAGTAGCAATATCATGATACATGTGGACAAGGGACGAGTTTTTAGTATGGTTCACATTGGCGAAAATCGTTTTTTTTTGTTTAACTCGTAATGTTGGTTTGATCAATGGTGATGGATTTGGAACGGTATGTAGATCAGAAGAATCGATATTTAGACTGTCATTCTTTTTTTCTTGACTTATATGGAGTAATCTTAGAAGGAAAGAGTTCATGCAATAGTCAGGCCCATATAAAAATTTTTTCAATAAAAAACATTTAAATTGTAAAGTGTTATCATACTGAATTGTGAAATATAATGATATTGTAAACAACAACAAGAGTTTTGATAATTATTGTATTTAAGCGCTATTTCTACTCGATTAAAATTCAATCGCATTATTTAAAGCATATAATTTTTGCTCATTATAATTTCGTGTTTCCCACTCACTTCTAAAATTCTAATTTAAGGATGAAGCACCTATCGTTGATACAGTATTGAGCAACAATGATACAATTATAATAAATAGTTGTATTATTGTTGTTGTTCTTAAACAGTAATGGTCGATTAATTTGAATTATAATAATTAGACGATCCGTGAAAATCACAGTTATTAGATG